AATTTTAACAAAATTTGCTTTAATCTGTGTTATGATTATCAATAAAGTTGTTCAAATTCTTCATAAAAACACCACAGGCAAATGACAAAAATAACAAAATATTCCAGTCATTTACCACAATAATTCTGTCATAAAAAGATAGGGGAAGTAACTAAAAGAGTAGTACATACTCTTTTCTTCTTTTCATCTTTTATGATTAAATGCCAAGACTGTTATAACAACACTTTAGAGATTGCTGCAGTAATTTAATAAAATCATCATTTTCATGATATTTGGGTGCCAAGGATACTGGTCATCAGGATAAAAACAATACAGAAATCACATTTAAGTACAAAATCAGAAAGTGCTAAATTACACATCACAATGTTTTATAACAATGGTAAGTGTAAATAGAAAGTGAAAGTAGGTATTAAAGTTAATTTTTACAACCCTGCATACTTGCGGTACCCACTTTATTGAAGTTTTACCAGTTGGTTCACTGCTGTTCATAATTTTTATGATTAAAATCACAATAAATAAGGTTTTATAATCTATAATCAACTCCAGATTCTAAACATAAACTCTATCATAAATGTTTAATTATTTCGTATTAATCCCTTCCAACTAATGTTAAAATTGTGTCTTCTTCCCCATAAAACCCCTCATTATCATCTAAAAACTAGATTTAGAATGCATTAGCCCCAGAGTTAATGTCCAAGTTATGGCCAGATTATGGTTTTAAATTGGACTTCTATAATTTACTGAATGTGTTTCTGATTGGGCTGTGGAATTAGATCTGATTCAATAATTTTCTATTTATTAGTACATGTAATAATAGAAGTTCAGAAAGTCATTATATGTTCTGAAGTCTGAAGGATCTACTTGAGACACAAACTTGACCTTGCAATAAACAAGATACAATTTAAATCAGCATGAATAAGTGATATTTGTCTTTGCAACTATTAACCTGACCTTCAGATTTTTATGTGTAAATATTGCTGACCTGAGATTACTTCTAAAAGCACTTTTGACAATATAAATGCTACCTCCAAAATATTTATACCTCTTTCTAAATAAAAAGTTAACTTCTAACTTAACTATTGTCCTCAACATGCATGTTTTTTTAGAACAGGCATCTCTAGAATCAAATTCCATAAATGGTGGCAGAAAGGATCTGGATGAAACTCGATGACAAATGAAACAAGATTTATATGACACTAATATTGACAATGAAACCACTTTCAGTACAATTCTATAACAAATGAGATCAGATTTGGATGAAACTCCCTGACTCTTTCTATAGATATATATAGTATTGCAAATAACTATTGGCAAAAACTTTGGACCTTTAACTGTTTGGGCGGTTCTTTCTAGATTTTTTTTAGATCTTTTGGGTTTTTAATTTCCCAAGCGTTTAATAGTTTTTAACTTTCTAGTCTTTTGTGTAGAGTGTGCTTGATGAAGGCTGTTCCAGAGACATGTGTTGTTAGTACAGAAACCCCTTTTTTAGAATTGAAACAGGAAACCATTTTTAGCAGAAACAGTGAAAAAAATAAAACCATAATAAGAAGAACTCAACAATATAGAAAAGCAGATTCCCTAATACAATCATAATTAACCTTCTGTCTTCCAATGATTTCAATGTAAATTTTTCCTCTTCAGAAATTTTGTTCACAAAGGTACTGTTAAGATTGAATAAGGTAAAATGTAAATGGTCCTGTCATAATGAGTTCTGAGGGTCCAATCAGTAAATGTTTAATAACCGTTACAATGGCTACACTATGTGAATACAAGACATAACCTTACTGGCCTTTAATCGGATAAAGGGACATCAATACAAACAAAAGCTGTAATAAATAAATTACAATTCAAACAAACACATTAATGAAATCTAACTATATGTCTAGTTCGTAAATATTTGATTAATTGTCTGACCTTCAATGACCTACAACTTACTATATGTTTCCAGTAGGAACAATATTTCAATAATTTAATCCTAAATTCAATTTCATTTCATGGACTGGCAATTCTCTGTCAGGTTTATCAAGTCTTCATAGATGTTTCTTCCCTTATCCATTGATTGCTGGATATCAAATATAGGTTGCCTTCATTAAAGTTTGAATTTGGTGACTTGAATAGTGAGTTCATTGACTGTATAAATATAACCAGTTTTATCGACTGTTCAACATTCCAAATTCTAGGTTGATTGTTTGAAATGCAAAAAGTCAAGAGTCATCAAGATGCAATCAAACATTGTAAGTCAAAAAATCCAAAAGAGCAAAAGAGGGTAAACAACTTAGTTAATTACAGCCTGTATTTCACACTGAATGATAGTACATTGTAAAGACTTATGCTTTTGATCAGTCAATTAAAACAAGTATTTCTAACAGTCAATATAAAATGGTGACTATGTGTAGCATCTCTATCAGTCAAACAAAGTAAGTATTTCTAACAGTCAATAAAATATGGTTCATATGTGCATCTGTCACCTCTGATGGTCAGTTAATCAAAGCAAGTATTTCCAACAATCAATAAAAATGGTGTACATGTGTAGCACCTCGATCAGTCAATCTAAGTAAGTATTTCCAACAGTGAAAAAAGGCATTTCTCCAAAAAAGGTGTTCTTGAATTTTAAACAAATATTTATAATACATCAAAAAAAAAAAAAATTACTAAAAATATTGGACATTACAGTCCACACCAACCACATACAAAATATCTGGCATAAGAGTCCTTACAAACCACAAACAAACCGACTCCTCTGAAAAAAGATGTATGTACATCAAAGATAAAACAATAACAAGTAGGATGTGGCCAAGAAGCAGGTACAGGCAAAACATGTGATGAGTTTAAACCTGTTTTACATGAGCACAATCCTCAACATGCCTGTCTAGACCATATTCTATAGGAGTAAAACACACAGTCAAAAACCTGCACAGTTTGATACCAACAGGATAAACCACTAACATGAACAAAGAAATAAAAATACACATCATATGGAGGGGCATGATGATGATAGACGATGGGCGTGTGGTCTTAGTAGTCCAACTACAGTATCACTAGCCTGTCAACACTGAGGTTGTGAGTTCCAATCCCACATGTGGCAGGTGCAATGGACTCCAATCTTAATTGACTAGGATTGTTAGTTTTCCTATTTAGGTGATTGGTGTATTATGGTATGAAATCAAAACAGAAAGTACATGTACTTTTGATAAAGCAATCCTAAAAGGGCGTTTTCTGTACATAATTTCCTATAACCAATATCTGTAAATAAAATAAAAAACATACAAAAAATATCGGTCATCTTCTTTCTGGTGTTATTTTGTAACTGGGTGGCTGCAGGATCATTATGGATTTTATTTAATTCTTCACAGATTAGAAGACTTTAATATTCTAACAACATGCCAATAATTTCTTCAATAAAAAGCTTTCATTGATTTGATTCTATAATTAAATACAGTAATGATAATACCATGTGTATCTGACGGGGTTTCATACTTTTTGATGCAATTATATGCAATAATTAAACCATAGAGTTCAGGATATTTTCCTGTTTTTATCATTTTCTGTGGAAATTCAGCGCCAAATATTATAGTTGTCAATGAAAAAGTTATTGAACTTGTTAAATCTGTTTCCCATCGAATGTAAGGGAAACAATGAAAACCTAATCAAATGTTATTTCAAACAAGAATGGAAAATTGTTTCTCAGTAACAATTTATAATGAATTAATGACACCAAGTTGTGGTTTATTATCTATTTAACTGATTTAAATACCTGACCATCACAATGTTTTAAGTTTGATAATTTCAAGTGCAAAGAGTGCCTTTTCATTTTGTGTGCGACTGACAAGTCTTATGTACACTATAAAGCTGGTATCTTTTAAAGATTTTACACAACAAAATACATTGGAATAAATAGTCCTAAGGTTAACTGAACTAAGATGGTAAAACAAAGTAGAAGGTTTTTATTGACGTGTCATTGGGTAGCTGACTCATTGATAGATGTTGTAGGAAGAGTTGAAATCAATATATAATGCATCTAATGTTTTAATAGTTGTAATTATCTGAATTTTTTAACTAAGAAGCCATGGAAAAGATTTTGTATCACAATGTTACAACCAGGCACTGTTCCAGAATCAACAATGCTTTGTTTGAGTTAATCCTATAAATTATACATTTCTTTCTTGAAAAAACCCATTATGATACTTTTGTATCTCCACAGTTGACTTAAATACAGCAGTTCAAAGTATGTAATTCTATGGGGAAAACCTTCAGGTAAATAGTATCTTTTTTTATACGAAATATCATCCAACATCTTAATAACTGTTTCTTTACTCTTTATAACAAAAGGATTCACTGTAACATTTTCACTTGGATGCACCAAAGAAAAAAGAGTAGAGTTTAAAGAGTTGTTTTGTCTAGTGTTTTATTGGCTGGAAAAAAAGTGTCAAAAATAATACAAGAATAGAAGCACTTGACATCCCTCTTTCAAACACAGTATGTGGTTATTCTTTCATCCTATCAGTACTAAAATTATATCCACTAAGTCATTTTTTTTGGTAAATCAGTGGCTAATAAGAACAAAACAAGAGTGCACACACTGAAATGTCTTGCCAACTTAACTGATTATGAAGGAATTTTATGTGGAAAGTCTTTCTGATCAAAGTTTTACTATAAACTTAACATTATCAATCTATGAGAATAAGGTCATGGTCAGATAGACCCTGACTGAAAGACATGTACACATGACAATCATTCTTTATCCCAAATAAAATCTACCAATTGCTTATAGTATTTGAAAGACAGACCTAGTCATGAAAACTTAACATAGACCAATGAACCATGAAAGTGAGGTCTAGATCAGATGTACCCTGCCATACAGACCTGCACACCTTACAATCATTGAATACACCAACATAAATATACAACATATGAGTGCTACACTGCACAGACCATTTTTAGGCAGAGATGTTAGAGTGGTATGGTCTAGAATACATTGATGCAGAAGGGAAAACTAATACCTCATGGTAGCTCTTAGTGTTCCCTATGTGGTCCTTCCTGTCTGTCTTGTTTACTGTATAACCGTCTTCATATACCTGAAAAAATAAAGATATTTAAGTAGAAAATCATTAGGTTTGGATGGTTTATGTATTAAATACTAGATTTTCCCTAACATTTTAACAATGTTTAATTTGTTAAGGTAGTAGGTGAGTAAAAAGATTTTTTTGTAGAAGTTAGTCAAAATAAAGTTTATACCATGACATTTTAAAACTGAATGCTAACATTAAAGTTACAGGATGTTCAAAATTCAAACATTTTGTAAAGATAAAATACACAGGAAACCACTTTTTTAAAAGTGGCAAGAAAAAATCAAAGTGCTGGATAGCACCTGTGGAAAGTTTGCAACGGTAGATGTGTAATATTTCAAAATAGGTTGTAAATGTGTAGATTGGGTGTTAAACTTTTTTTCCAACTTTAAAAAAAATTACTTAATACAAGAAATAATTGTAACATGATGCTGTTACGAAGTCTCCCAAACAAAGCTCCCATAATTAGTCATTCCCAGGAAGGGGGTGGGAGTGACCCCAGGGGATTTTTTTTTTTTTTTTTTTTTAATGTCCCATACAAGAATATATATGGTTTCGGGGTGGGGATCTTGACCGTTTAAAAGTTCTCAAAACAGGATGGGGTGGGGGTGACACCCAGGGACTCCCCTATATTTAATTTGATTTGTTTTATTGTCCCATACAAGAATATATATGGTTAAGGGGTGAGGATCTCGACTGTTTACAAGTTTTCAAAAAGAAGGGGGGTGGGGTGACCCCTGTGGACTTCCTCTATATTTCATTTGATTTGTTTTATTGTCCCATACAAGAATATATATGGTTTATGGGTGGTGATCTCAACCGTTTACAAGTTCTTAAACAGGAAGGGGGTGGTAGTGACCACAGGGGACTCGCCTTTTATTTCATTTGATTTGTTTTATTGTCCCCTACAAGAATATATATGGTTTCTGGGTGGGGATCTTGACCGTTTACAAGTTCTCAAAACAGGATGGGGTGGGGTGACACTCAGGGACTCCCCCTATATTTCATTTGACTAGTTTTATTGTCCCATACAAGAATATATATGGTTTAGGGGAGGGGATCTCGTCCGTTTACAAGTTCTCAAACAGGAGGGGGTGGGAGTGACACCCAGGGACTCCCCCTATATTTCATTTGACTTGTTTTATTGTCCCATACAAGAATATATATGGTTTCGGGGTGGGGATCTTGACCGTTTACAAGTTCTCAAAACAGGATGGGGTGGGAGTGACACCCAGGGACTCCCCCTATATTTCATTTGACTTGTTTTATTGTCCCATACAAGAAAATATATGGTTTAGGGGTGGGGATTTTAACCGTTTACAAGTTCTCAAACAGGAGGGGGTGGGAGTGACACCCAGGGACTCCCCCTATATTTCATTTGACTTATTTTATTGTCCCATACAAGAATATATATGGTTTAGGGGTGGGGATTTCAACCGTTTACAAGTTCTCAAACAGGAGGGGGTGGGGCTGATCCAGAGGGACTCCTGCTATATTTCATTTGATTTGGTTTATGATCCTGTGATCATTACTGAAAACCGTGTGTGTCTATCACTTACTGTTTTCAAGTTATAGTCATTTGAAAATTAAAAAAAAATAAATCCCATAGGGTTCTATAGTAAATCCCTCCCTTCTGTTGGCCCCTCAAAATACCCCCTAAATAGACCTCAAGAAGAAAAATAATAAGAACTGAGCAAAACAATAAGTCTCCAAACTTTGTTTGGGAGACTTAATAGCAAGTAGTATAATTACGAATTTTGTTATAGTCTGATTTTCTGATGCCGATTATGTAATAGGTCGAGTTTATTATAGTCCGAGTTTGTTGTGGGCCAAGATGAGATACCGGGATACTTTCGATACACTTGGGCTTTTACGTCTTTCATAAACATTGTAAAAATTGTAGTAATAGTCGAAAAATGTTCATTCATGAAATATTTTAAACACGGTATTTATTTTCTTTTCAACCGGAGGACGGGAGGAAATCCCTGAAACTGGGATTATAGTACTCCTGTTGATATGGATCTCATGCATGTCTGGGGAATACCGATAAAAGCATAACGTAGAAACTGCTGTCTCATGTAGATGTGTATTGATTTTACTTTCCGCACAGTGCAGATCTGCTCATGTAGATGTGTATTGATTTTACTTTCCGCGCAGTGCAGATCTGCTCATGTAGATGTGTATTGATTTTACTTTCCGCGCAGTGCAGATCTGCGAAGTAGTGTTTGTGATAGCCATTTTCAAAATGAAGTTGAATTATTTGAATTATTGATGAACATTCAGTACATTTTAATTCAAACTGTAAGCTAATCAAAATAGAAGTAATTCAAAATTTCAAAAGCATCTTCCTAGAATTAGTTGTAAAACACCAGTACTTCATTATCTAGGAGTAGAACACACATCCTAAAGTAAGATAGTCTGTCACTTCCGGTTTGAGGCCGATGCCTTAGGAAAGTTTTTGCTATAGCAAGCTATAGCAAACTTTCCAAAAACTCATATGAAAGAACTTTAAAATAAAAGATTATGATACAATCAGTCTTTAAATCATTTCAGAAAAAAAATTGGATTTTCATGAAACATAGAAAAATAAATAAATAAATTTCCAGTTCATTCTTTTATAAAAATTGATAGTAAGTTATAATGAAATGTTCAAATATTTTTCTTGTGAGATTTTGTGTGAAATGAATGGTTTACACTTGATACTCAATGTGACATGATACCCAAACATTGTACTTAAAGCATATATGACTAGAATGTCCAATCATTTGATAGCTTGTGTCAACCCAACATACAAAGAAGATCAGTTTCCTTTGAAATCCTCATATGGAATAGTCTTTTATTTGATGATCGTCCATAAAATATACAGATTTCGAATCAGTTTCAATGCATGTGTAAATAGCTTCTTATTACAGGGTGAACTAATCAAACTTTGTTTGTTATCTGTGCCACAATGAAGATTAAATCAATGGTATCGGAAACATGCCGCTGATAGCGTCATTTTCCAAAAACCTTCTTTTAACATTAAAATAAACATGTCTGTTGTAAAATCCCTCTTTTGCTTTTATTAAAATAACAAACTCCCAAAGCAGGTGAAACATAACATTGTGTAATAACTTTGCACTAAATGCAACAACAACCTGCCAAAAATACAATAATCAAGTAATTATATCAAGACAATGTCAAAACATATCATTCTTAAAACACTTAATACCTCCCTTGCTCTCTGTTTCAACACTTCCTTGTGGGCGATTATTATGCAGAGTTGGGCATAATTCCACCTAATCTGTTACATTATAAACTGCTTATCAATATGTATATTACACAATGGAATATGAATTTGATATCTGATTACTAAAGTCCACAATTTTGCTGAAATCTGCAAGTATTATACCCACATACATGTACATTGCACTTTAAAATGAAATAAGCATTAGAGACAAACGATTTTATTTCATCATTATAACTGTCATTCAATCATAATATAAAGTTTATATTATAAACATATTTGAAATCTTAGATCAATATAAATAAAGGGAGATAATTGGGACAACAAGACAGCAGTCCAACAACAACAAAAAGACCCAATAGACATCTTCACTGAACAATTATAGGAATAAAGCAAATCTACATTAGATAAATCGAAAGACACATCTCAGTTGTATAAAAGAAAACGATATTTCAAAGTTGTATGAAGTGCAGCATAAAGTATCTAGGCTGAACAAAATTTAATTTTTTTTTTTCAAAACATACAAAAGTTGTAAAGAATCTTTGTTAAAGTGAAAAGTACACAAAAAACATGGCACTTGAATTTTACAAAGGGAAGCCAGTTGTTAATGTCTATCAATTGTCAGTGCCTGCCATTCCAAATTCTACAGAATATACTGTAGGTTGTAACAATGTTACACAATATATAGATGTTAATTATATTCCTACTTAGTGAACCATTCGTCTTAAATATCACCCTAATAGTTGTTCTACATACACTACAGGCGGAAATAAACGATAATTCATTTCTTTCTTCAAAATAGTGTCATTCCTTTTGCTGCTCACCAATTAAACATGTAACCTGACAGGCTATATACATATATATATATATACCCAACACTGTGAAGACATTTTAGATTTATAGTATTTCTTTTTTTCATTTTAGGAGATTATGAAGGGAGAATGAAAGGAGAATAACAGACCAGCAAAAAATGCAGATTTTCATCTGGAACAAAACAAAAATAAAATGCTCCGCTGGGCGCAGCTTGATACAACTGCAGAGGTCAAACCCTGAACAGTTGGGGCAAGTATGGACACAACATTCAAGCTTGATACAGCTCTGAATTTGGATTGTGATTAAATATTTGACACAGCATAGGTTTCTGACACAGAATGAATGTGGTCTAAGAACTTAAAAATTTCTAATTTACCTATTATGGTCCAATATCCAAAATCTAAATACATACACGGTTAGATTCAGCATATCAAATAACCCCAATAATTAAAATTTTGTTAAAATCAAACTAAGTTTAATTTTAGACCCTTTGGACCTTAATGTAGACCAATTTGAAAACGGGACCAAAAATTAAGAACCTAAATACACGGTTAAATTCGGCATATCAAAGAACCCCAATATTTCAATTTTTGATGAAATCAAACCATATCATTATTATTTGCTTTTATATATTAATAAAAAATAACAAACTTAAAATGGAAAATTTTAAAGAAAAAAAAAAGGAATACCCCCCCCCCCCAAATTTTTGGAACCCCCTTATGATTCATCACCCCCAAACTCAATCCCAGCCTTCCCTTTGTGGTATGGTACCTTTCAGTACAATTTCAGAGAGAGTCATTCACTTGAACACAAGTTATTGTCTGGAAACTGTAAAAATGCTTGTTTTTTGGCCCCTTTTTCGCCCCAAATTCCTCAACGTTTCGAGCAATTACCCCCAAACTCAAACCCAGCTTTCCCTTTGTGATATGGAACATTGTAGTACAATTTCAGAAAGATCCATACACTTACACACAAGTAATTGTCATGAAACTAGTAAAATGCTTGTTTTTTTGCCCCTAATTCCTAAAATTTTGAGGCAATTACCCCCAAAATCAATCCCAGCATTCCCTTTGTGATATGGAACCTTGTGGTACAATGTCAGAGAGATCCATACACTAACACACAAGTTATTGTCTGGAAGTTATAAAAATGCTTATTTTTGGCCCCTTTTTGGCCCCTTATTCCTTTACTGTTGGTACCATAAACCCCAAAATCATTCCCAACCTCCCTTTTGTGGTATTGAACCTTATGGTAAAATTTCATAGAGATCCATTCACTTAAACTAAAGTTATTGTGCGAAAACCAATGTGTCTTCGGATGATGTTGACGACGACGCCAACGTCATACTAATATACGAACATGATTCAGGGTCAAACTTTAAATGCTCAAAAATTATATTGTTGCAACATGATAAATCCAATTTGATGGACAAGGCATTTTTCATATAACATAACAATACATGCCTTTCTATAACATTTAGTGAAAAATAATTTTTTGTTCATGCAATGATAATTGTGTGCACAAAGATGCAAATTGGTTGTATTACTATGGCATGTTGTAGACCATTATGTCATATTTATCAATAAAAACAAGTACAAATGACTCAGGGTGGTTCATAATTATTATGGAAACACAACTGACACTAAATAAAACACAGGGATAGAATGTTAAATGTTATATAGACATATTAAAATAATCTGGTACAAATTCCATGACTTCAAAAATATTTTTTAACAAGCAATATAATGAACAAAAATACTTTTTTTCAGTCATAAACAAAATATTAACAAAAGACTTTTAAAAGTAAAAATTTAATATAAAATTTACATCAATGTGCTATCTTATAAAAAATAACAATCAAATTACTTTCTTATATAGAAATTAAGTTGATGTGTAAATGATAGGTTTGATCAACACATCAGAGTGTTGTTAATGTGATCGTTGTCTGGTAAATTTTTAGACAGATAAAAAAGGGTTCTAATAGTATTAGAACACAAATAATGCTATTTGTTTATGTCAAAATTGTTCTTTAAATAAAATAGATGATGAAGATCATTTCTTATTTAAATGTACACAAAATGAAAACTTGAGACTTGAATTCTTACAGAAAATTAAAAATATCTATTCAAATATAGATGATATGGATAACTTTGATAAATTAGTTTTATGTCTAGTTCATGTCCTTCAGTTATGCGGTTAATTTTTCTCCATTTATTAAAAAGTCCTGGTCACCGAGGAGAGTGGATTCGACAACTGCATAATATGTACATATATAAAATTCATGTCTTGTATTCTATTACTTTTGTGATGTATTATGTACTGTATTATTTTGTTAAATTTCATGTATGCCATCAACTCCATTGGGGTATAATTGTGCATTTATTTCAATAAATTAATGTAATTCCTACACAAGACTCACAAGAAAATAAACATATAAAATAAAAGAAGATGTGGAGTGAACACTAAATGAGACAGCTACCCAACAATATAAGTTAACAAAAAATAAGCATCAAAAAGCAAAAATTGACAAATACTCAACCACTACTCTACATCCCCCAGAATACATACAATTAACCCATACAAATTCATTAACATTTGAAGCAACCATTACATTTCAGAGGAGACAAAAAAAATCTGTAGACCAAGAGAAAATCCTGAGAGAATTTCTGCAAAGAGAATGAGATTAACACCTAGCATATGGACCTCATATCTATACAAAGAGAATGACAGATTAATACCTAGTATATAGACCTCATATTTATACAAAGAGAACGACAGATTAATACCTAGTATATAGACCTCATATCTATACAAAGAGAACGACAGATTAATACCTAGTGTATGGACCTCATATCTATACAAAGAGAACGACAGATTAAAACCTAGTGTATGGACCTCATATCTATACAAAGAGAACGACAGATTAATACCTAGTGCATGGACCTTGTATCTATACAAAGAGAGAACGACAGATTAATACCTAGTATATAGACCTCATATCTATACAAAGAGAACGACAGATTAATACCTAGCATATGGACCTCATATCTATACAAAGAGAACGACAGATTAATACCTAGTGTATAGACCTCATATCTATACAAAGAGAACGACAGATAAATACCTAGTGTATGGACCTCATATTTATACAAAGAGAACAACAGATTAATACCTAGTGTATGGATCTCATATCTATACAAAGAGAGAACGACAGATTAATACCTAGTGTATGGACCTCATATCTATACAAAGAGAACGACAGATTAATACCTAGTATATAGACCTCATATCTATACAAAGAGAGAACGACAGATTAATACCTAGTGTATGGACCTCATATTTATACAAAGAGAACAACAGATTAATACCTAGTGTATGGATCTCATATCTATACAAAGAAAGAACGACAGATTAATACCTAGTGTATGGACCTCATATCTATACAAAGAGAGAACGACAGATTAATACCTAGTATATAGACCTCATATCTATATAAAGAAAACGACAGATTAATACCTAGCATATGGACCTCATATCTATACAAAGAGAACGACAGATTAATACCTAGTGTATAGACCTCATATCTATACAAAGAGAAAGACAGATTAATACCTAGTGTATGGACCTCATATTTATACAAAGAGAACAACAGATTAATACCTAGTGTATGGACCTCATATCTATACAAAGAGAGAAAGACAGATTAATACCTAGTGTATGGACCTCATATTTATACAAAGAGAATGACAGATTAATACCTAGTGTATGGACCTCATATTTATACAAAGAGAACAACAGATTAATACCTAGTGTATGGATCTCATATCTATACAAAGAGAGAACAACAGATTAATACCTAGTGTATGGACCTCATATCTATACAAAGAGAACGACAGATTAATATCTAGTATATAGACCTCATATCTATACAAAGAGAGAACGACAGATTAATACCTAGTGTATGGACCTCATATCTATACAAAGAGAACGACAAATTAATACCTAGTATATATACCTCATATCTAAAAGAGAGAATGACAGATTAACACCTAGTATTTATACCTCATATTTATACAAAGAGAACAACAGATTAATACCTAGTGTATGGACCTCATATCTATACGAAGAGAGAACGACAGATTAGTACCTAGTGTATGGACCTCATATCTATACAAAGAGAACAACAGATTAATACCTAGTATATAGACCTCATATCTATACAAAGAGAACGACAAATTAATACCTAGTGCATGGACCTCATATCTATATCATACACACCTACACTTAACCTTAATATAGCAAGCTCACAAATCAAATCAAATCAAATCAAATCATTTTATTGGTGTAAAATCCAAATATTGGATTGTTACCAAGACAAACATGACAATATTTACAAATATACAATATTTAAATTAAAGCAACATTCATATTATATAAGTATCTCGTTTGTTTAGATATTTTGGAGGAGGTGATACTTTTGCAAATTTGAAAGTAAAAATACAATATTCTTAATGCTATTCTTATAAAATATAACATAACAAATATATATGAAAAATAGAAAATAATCACAAATTTGTATTACATAATTAGTTTTTCTTGTCAGCAGGCTATTTCTTAGTACATATAAATCATCAGCTAGGCTATTTCTTAGTACATATAAATCATCAGCTAGGCTATTTCTTAGTACATATAAATCATTAACCCCTTAACAATAATTTTAGTTATGTCGTACTCATTAAATGTAAACATGAATGTAAATTTTTCCTCATCAGACATTTTGTTGAAAGATGGACCTATACTATCTACTTCCTGAAAAAGTTTTTGCCTACGTTTTTCTAAAATTTGACATTTTTAAGCAAAATGATATTCATCTTCAACCCCATTTTTACAGAGGGGACATAAATCTTGTTTCCAGAGGTAATTTTACGGTGTCTTGACCCTGTACAATATTTAGATTACTATTAGTATTACTTATTCTGATTTTAATAAAATTAGATATCATGTATCAGTCTAAATCTATTAATAAAAAATTTTCAAATTTGTAATCATTTTTTTTATTTTCTGTATGTTCTTAGTTTGTTTCCATTAGGGTTAACTTGGTCATTAAAAAGACTATTTTTCCAGAAATCTGTATATCTTTCAGCTAATTTGTTCCCTACAGCATTAATCAGGCTCACATAAAACCAGGTTCAATCCACCATTTTCTACATAAGAAATTGCCTGTAACAAGTCAGGAATATGACAGTTGTTGTCCATTCGTTTGATGTGTTTGTGCTTTTGATTTTGCCCTTTGATTAGGGACTTTCCGTTTTGGATTTTCCTCGGAGTTCAGTATTTTTGTGATTTAACTTTTTTTTATACCCCACACCAACACAAGCCTCCCTCCCCCAAAGATGTCCAAAACTACATACCCCACACCAACACAAGCCTCCCTCCCCCAAAGATGTCCCCCACTACATACCCCACACCAACACAAGCCTCCCTCTCACAAAGATGTCCTCCACTACATACCCCACACCAACACAAGCCTCCCTCTCACAAAGATGTCCCCCACTACATACCCCATCCCAACACAAGCCTCCCTATCACAAAGATGTCCCCCACTACATACCCCACACCAACACAAGCCTCCCTCTCCCAAAGATGTCCCCCACTACATACCCCACACCAACACAAGCCTCCCTCTCCCAAAGATGTCCCCCACTACATCCCTCTCACAAAGATGTCCCCCACTACATACCCCACACCAACACAAGCCTCCCTCTCCCAAAGATGTCCCCCACTACATCCCTCTCACAAAGATGTCCCCCACTACATACCCCACACCAACACAAGCCTCCCTCTCACAAAGATGTCCCCCACTACATACCCCACACCAACACAAGCCTCCCTCTCCCAAAGATGTCCCCCACTACATACCCCACACCAACACAAGCCTCCCTCTCACAAAGATGTCCCCCACTACATACCCCACACCAACACAAGCCTCCCTCTCCCAAAGATGTCCCCCACTACATACCCCACACCAACACAAGCCTCCCTCTCACAAAGATGTCCCCCACTACATACCCCACACCAACACAAGCCTCCCTCTCCCAAAGATGTCCCCCACTACATACCCCACACCAACACAAGCCTCCCTCTCCCAAAGATGTCCCCCACTACATACCCCACACCAACACAAGCCTCCCTCTCACAAAGATGTCCCCCACTACATACCCCACACCAACACAAGCCTCCCTCTCACAAAGATGTCCCCCACTACATACCCCACACCAACACAAGCCTCCCTCTCCCAAAGATGTCCCCCACTACATACCCCACACCAACACAAGCCTCCCTCTCACAAAGATGTCCCCCACTACATACCCCACACCAACACAAGCCTCCCTCTCACAAAGATGTCCCCCACTACATACCCCACACCAACACAAGCCTCCCTCCCCAAAGATGTCCCACACTACATACCCCACACCAACACAAGCCTCCCTCTCCCAAAGATGTCCCCAACTACATACCCCACACCAACACAAGCCTCCCTTTCCCAAAGATGTCCCCCACTACATACCCCACACCAACACAAGCCTCCCTCTCCCAAAGATGTCCCCCACTACATACCCCACACCAACACAAGCCTCCCTCTCCCAAAGATGTCCCCCACTACATACCCCGCACCAACACAAGCCTCCCTCCCCAAAGATGTCCCCCACTACATACCCCGCACCAACACAAGCCTCCCTCCCCAAAGATGTCCCCCACTACATACCCCACACCAACACAAGCCTCCCTCTCACAAAGATGTCTCCCACTACATACCCCACACCAACACAAGCCTCCCTCTCACAAAGATGTCCCCCACTACATACCCCGCACCAACACAAGCCTCCCTCCCCAAAGATGTCCCCCACTACATACCCCACACCAACACAAGCCTCCCTCTCACAAAGATGTCCCCCACTTAAGGTTTTACTGATTACAGAACTCATCCAATATTTTGATGTGTGGATTAATTGAAGTTTGTTTAATGTCCATTGGCATTGATGAGTGGAAACCTTCATATAAATTTGAAGAGGTTCTGATAAAAACCTAAGGTGCTATCTTGGCAACAAGAGTAAATATGAGATATGTTTATAAGTCCCTCCCCCAAAAACAAAGGTTCCCCGTTTAGGATTTGTTTGATTACTGAACTGACATTCATGTACATGCGGTTTGATGACTCAAAAATTTCATTCAAATTTAAAGTGGATCTGACAAATAAGGATGACACTAACATAGCTACAACAAAGTGATGTCATGCTGTTGGACAGACCGGACAAATTCACACTCTCTACAACTTCATTGTAATAGACTGGCATCCTAGTTTGAATGACAACAGTATAAACCTATTCAAAGTTAAGATTTATACGAATGTACCCTGTACTGTGACATTAAATAAATGTTAATGAACTAATGACGTAATCAATAATCAGCTATAGTAACTCTTGGGACAAGTGAAATAAATCACCAGTATGATTTATTGCCTCATCTCACATCAAATTTATCATATCGGTACTTTCATATCTATTATTGATACTGGTGACTATGCAACAGAAAGTGTTACTAAGTTAACACATTCACAATGCTCTGTAAATTCATTTTCATTTCAATTCAATATTTGATTTCCATTAAACACTATAGATTGACAAGAAAATAAAAAAAATAAAAATAATTGATGTTACCAAATGTAAGTGTTGCCAGATTAAGATGAGAGGGTTGGAACTTGGAGAAGAAGTGATATCACACCCTGTTACTGGCTATTGGTTTGGTAGATACAAGAGGATCTGTGTTTCAGATTGTTATTAAAACTTTAGTTTTTGCTATTGTGTACAGCATTAATATTTTGTCCTGGTTTCAGATTGCCAGTTCAATGCAATGGACTTTGTGTACAGCATCAATGTTTTGTTCTGGTTTCAGATTGCCAGTTCAATGCAATGGACTTTGTGTACAGCATCAATATTTTGTTCTGGTTTCAGATTGCCAGTTCAATGCAATGGACTTTGCTATTGTGTACAGCATCAATATTTTGTCCTGGTTTCAGATTGCCAGTTTAATGCAATGGACTTTGCTATTGTGTACAGCATAAATATTTTGTCCTGGTTTCAGATTGCCAGTTCAATGCAATGGACTTTGCTATTGTGTACAGCATCAATATTTTGTCCTGGTTTCAGATTGCCAGTTCAGTGCAATGGACTTTGCAAATGTGTACAGCATCAATATTTTGTCCTGGTTTCAGATTGCCAGTTCAATGCAATGGACTTTGCAACTGTGTACAGCAGATTTTGATGGGTGTTGCCTATAGCATATGCCGTACCGCTGGCCAGTAACATAGTGTGGATATGACATTAGCTGTTGTCGTACCACTGGCCAGTAATATAGTGTGGATATGGCATTAGCTGTTGTTTATGCCGTACCGCTGGTCAGTAATATAGTGTGGATATGACATTAGCTGTTGCCGTACCGCTGGTCAGTAATATAGTGTGGATATAACATTAGCTGTTGTTTAACAGTTAGTCCTTCAGAATAGAAAATAACAAATGTACTATAGTAATGATAAAAGAATATTCTAAAAATCAGTGTCCACAGACATGGGCTACTTTATGGGAACATTCTTCAAATGAGCCTCGTGGGAACATTTCTATTGTGATAGAGCCTTGATATTTGATATACAGATACATCAGCTTCCATGCAACACAACTCACATGTTACTGAAAAGTCGATCTCACATAGTGACAGAATGAAAGTACAATGCTGGCTAATTATGAATTTTGTTTGTTATTGAAGTTCATTCATTTACTGTTATGTTAACCAGTTAGATAAATAGATGAACAAAATCATCTGACTTGACTGAGTTTTACTGTAAATCTTTATTGTGATTAGAGGGAACAGTTTTCTTTATAAAAATCCAACAAATCACAGCTTTTCATCATATGAAAGGGGATCTTAAAGCATAAACTACCATCTAAGCACCTAATTATGACTAGCCTAGTTATTACAGAAGGAGAGTATGTCAGGTCATTTGATTAGAGGTCATCATATTTATTGTATCAAAGTTAAATAGATATAAGAAGATGTGGTATGAGTGCCAATGAGACAACTCTCCATCCAAGTCAAAATTTATAAAAGTAAACCATTATACGTCAAAGTACGGTCTTCAACACGGAGCCTTGGCTCACACCGAACAGCAAGCTATAAAGGGCCCCAAAAATTACTAGTGTAAAACCATTCAAGTTTTCAATTGAGAAAAAAAGTAACCATTAGATTTATATTGTAGCTTTGATACATTGTTTGTGTACAAAAGATGACCCTGGATATATCACTGACCAACTTGTACAAAAGATGACCCTGGATATATCACTGACCAACTTGTAAAAAAGATGACCCTGGATATATCACTGACCAACTTGTAAAAAAGATGACCCTGGATATATCACTGACCAACTTTTGACAAGCAATTAAACTGATATACAATATACCTATATTTATTACCAATAATCAGGTCTTTTTGACAAAAAACGTTGTAAGCTATACTTAGAGTTTAATCTACCAAAAATATGTTTTTCCTATTTTGTCAATTTCTTCCAGAATTTTTTTTATCATACAATGAATGGTCTATCATGATAGCTTGCAATGTCCGACTCACCTTTAATTAACATACATCAAAGACACCTGCCAGGTAGCAGGTAAGGAAATCAAATTACCTCTGTATTAGATCATTTTTCATGTAAATACCACACATCAAACACAAATTAATTCCAATCGTTCTAATCAAATCTTTGTTCAGGTAAGGTCTGTGGAATCGAATCTTCATTTGGCTGAAGAATTTAGATTTAATCTCAACTCGACCATGGTCATGAACCTCTGATATGGGATATCATAAGTATGTCGTGAAACGCTTCCGACTCAAAGCCAATCTCAAATCAAGACATTTAAATAAGCCTAAGATTAATAACCAAAATTCTCCCACCCGACTAAAGTTTTTCTAACCATTTTGAATTGCACACGTCCAAATTTATTTAACCTCAGATGGACAGATAATTTTGATATTTGAGAGAAAAATTGTATCAGAAATTGATTACAAATTATGATATTTAACAGTTTAAACAATGTTAAACAAACAAAACTTAAATCTGCTTTCTGATAAAGATCTAAAACAGATATATTTTCAATTGATTATAATTAGGATTTCAAACTATTTTTGTTTGGTTTTATTTTAGTCTTTAAATACAAAGGTATATAAAACCAACATAGAAGCCTGGCTTACCCTGGTATATATATATACTGGTGATCCCATGGATCAAATCTGTCATAGAGTTGTCACTGGTTCAGACGTACTTATAATATAATTATTTCTGTGACTGCATCCTACATT